CAGCATGGTCTCCCAAACAAACAAACGGCTTGCTTACAGCGAAATGAATATGAAATGACACCAAAATGGGTGTGTAGATGGGCAATGGAGGATAGCACTATGTGCAAAAAACTATGAAAAATGTGAATTAAAGTTGCGGCAAACTTTTTTCGCAGTTAGGTGGCTTTACAGCCACCTGGACAGCCACCTGAGGTGGCTGTAAAAAGAAAAAGTCATATATTTTTCTTCCTTCACATGATTTTCTCACATTTTTAACATAGCCTTGTTCTACAACAAAATACCCACTACTGAGTTTTTGAATCTCCCAGAACCCCCTCATCCTCGCCTACTTACAGCCCTTCAAATATTTTGTATGGCGGCGGCAAGCCGCTCCAAGCGCGCGAGGGTGCGCGTCGGACACAGCATGCCGCCAATTCTGAGAAAACGAACATCTTTGGCTTTTTCTGTCTGTTCGGAGTTGTTTTATGTTTTGTTCCATTACTTTTCTTTGTTCGTTTTGATCCTTTCACGATCGCATCATAGGTGATGTCGTATTTTCCTGCTGAAGTCTACAGGGACTTCGTTTTTGAATAAATGAAAAAGCCACTTCATGCCAAGCCCTGGTCACAAAGCAATACTTCTCGTGTAAAGTATATTTCTGCTGTGCTACTCCACGTGTTGTTACTGCAGTGTAATCACCACTAATTCATCTTCAAATTCCATGAAATTTCTTTATCTTGCCATCTTTCCCGTTGGTGCTCTCGTTTCACCAAATATTGTGTACTCTTTGTGTTCGAATACCTTGATCAATCCGTCGAAATTGGTGATCTCATCAAAACAGGTGCTCTTACTTTTAAAAATGAGTTGTTTCTGATCATGTGCTTTCAAACTAAACCATAACTGATCTATCACTCAGGATTACAAACAGTTTAGACATCGCCAGCGATTTTTTGGTGGGCGAATCCTTGAATTGAAAGGCAGGATTGTAGTATGTACTGGCACTTGGAGTGTAGTAAATACTGGCACTAATCCTTTCAAATTGCTAGTTCTGCCTTTCTCATAAATCTTTGCTACATGTATTCTGCAAAACGATGATACGAGACTTTAGTGTTTGCTAATAAACTTTGTTGGTCAGCGCTAGTATACAAATATCACTCCAGTTTCATGCTGATTGTTGATTTGTAATTTTCTTCAACTGTCTTTTTGCTATGGTTAGCTGCTCATGAATGGCCATCATTTTCTTTGATTTTTTCGCTAGTTAGTAAATATCAGGTCGGCAAGAAAGTTTTGCGCATCTTCTTTGAGAAATTATAGTCTCCTTAAATTTGAATCGACAATTTGACTGCTTGATTGGAGATCATGCACTTTTGCACATTATACAGACGTCTTGCTAAATCAAAAAAGAAGTGTTGATCGAGTTCAATTACCTAGGATTAGGAGCCAAGTTTCCACGTTAATGTATTTGATTCTGGGGCAGGCACCTCTGCAAGTTCCATACCTACACTTTCTAAAAGAGAATTTTGGGAAAATCTTTGATTTATCGAATCCAAGAATGTTCGAAGGAACGCGCTATTATAAGGAACGGGCAGTAATATGTACATAGCCTATTCTGAGGAAATGGAACTTACCTGCCTGAAAGATTTACCACAATATGATCGTAGGAGTTGTGAGGAGTCGGCAACGCTAATTAGCACCCTGTACAGAACTGATCTCTACACAAACTCAGACAATCACAGGCTCTCAGCCGGCAGCCACAAAGCCACCGCGAAAACCCACCAAAAGCACGGTGGCCTCATCGCCTCACTGTCGCTTCCCGCTGAGAACTGGCAGCGAGCGGGCTGCTACAAAGCCTTCAGCGCGAAGCGAAAGCGGCGGTTTCGTTTCGCGCTGAAGGCTTTATAGCAGTCCGCTCGCTGCCAGTTCTCAGCGAGAAGCGACAGTGAGGCGATGAGGCCACCGCGCTTTTGGTGGGTTTTCGCGGTGGCTTTGTGGCCGCCGGCTGAGAGCCTGTGGTTGTCTGAGAAGTAAGCTCCATTCTCGTGTAGCATGAACCAGGAATTCAGCCGTGATTTCGAACTAAAACTTCAGTATCACTATATGTCTGGTCAAGGTGAAGGCAGGCACCTAAAGGTTTTTGATATGTTATCTCCGAATACGTTCGCAGTTTCGTTGAATAGGCTGAACTTGCAATTATTAATGTGTAGTTTTTTACAATAAGCTGGTGAATTTGGAAAAATTGGAAGAGAAGCGAAAAATCTGCTTCGATTAGAAGAATCAGCTAAATCCAAACCTTAATCACATTTCAGCATCATTTCAGATTCAAAAAAGAAATTAGACACCAACAATTCCTAGAACTGGAGCTGACTCCGACTTTCGGAAAAATCTGTTTTTTGAACCCCTCGGCTAAATTATCAGGTTGCTAGTGCTTATGCAGATCACCAGATTTGCAATAAAACCCATAGAGAATTTGTAAAAATTTGGCAAATTCGAAGTATTTGAAGTAAGCAAAGTAGAAAATTTTTACGGTGAAGTACAATATATGTTTAAAAAAGTATGAAAATCTGTGCGAGCAGAGGGTCGGTTCCACCCAGCTGGAACCCAGCTAGAACGGTTCCAGCTGATTCGGAAGAAAAGGTGAGCACGGCTTTCATTCAGATAAGCCTAAATCATTGGGCCATAGTTTTCGAGCCCCCTCACGCACATATGCACACTAAATTTGGTGTCACACCATTGTGTTTTGTTTGCAAACAAGGCCGGCAGCGTGCCCACGGCATGCAGGTAGCTCTTTTCCGCCCCGGACCATGCGCGATACTCCCCCCCCCCCCTGCTTCTCTCGTAGAAGCGATATGCTTGATCCGATTTCAGTTAGCCGGACCATGTCTTGGCACTTGAAGTTTATTACAGTATTAAGAAATGTGCGAAAAAGGTTTTTCTGTATTAGTATTAGTTCAAACCGTTTTTAAATAAAAAAGGAACTGCTCTTTCCAACAGACTTAAATCACACTTTTTTCAAATGATAAAATTCGTGAAAACTTATTGGAATGTTTGCATGTTTATTTAGTCGCTCTTATTTGGCAGAATCTCTCTCTTATGCCTTTGTGGGTTTTGCCTCGAAATGCGGAATAGATAAATTTGCACCGAATTTTTGATGTCGGCGGTGTTATCAATAATTTGCACAAAAAAGGTCCGCGTTAAATTGGATAGAAAGGAAATTTAACACTGTCCACAAATTACTTGAAGTGTGCGTTCTGCGACACTTCAACATACACTTAACGAACATGTGATTTTAGTTTGAACATAATGGAGTTTACATTACCTGTTACAAAATGTTTGAATGAATCTTTTCTTCCGAGTGTGAACACTATTCAACCCATATCCTAGCGACCAAAGCTCATGCAAATTCACCGCCATGGTTGCGTGTTTATGCTATATGAGAACAGCAACTGAAAGATTATCAAAGATTTTGTAAGAGTTGCAGAAGAATCTGACGTGTTAGCAGTGACGATCAGTCCGCATAAGCATACAGAGATACTTGCAGAAAGATGTTCAGTGCTTTGATCCTTCGCTGACATCATCTTTGTGAAGCTTTGCTTTTCAATTAGTCGCAGAGTATATTTTGCCTAGAAAAATCATGATAGTAATAGTAATCTTTCCTTGTGTTTTTGGAAAGAGGGCAGGTCGTCGAGGTAAGGAAATAGGCTGCATTTGCTACCTAGCAGAACAAGGTAGGATGTTCTTGTCCGTCCGTCTATCAGACACGGGAATTACTCGAACTTCCTTTTCAAGAAGAAAAAAGATACTATTAGATTGTAAAGAAAGTTCCAGGGCACTTGCGAATTTTTTTTAAATCGCTGTAAGTTCGAGCAGATTGATCCTTTTTCAGAGCTATACATTTCATTGCAAAGAGAATTTCGTCAATATATATTTGTCGTGTTGGCTTTTCAGCACCTCATAGCCCACTAGAATGCGCAGAAGGGTGAAAGATCGGCGCGAAAAGTGGCCTATTTGTGCAGGATTATCTCAGGCAGAATAACAGTTGCAGACCCCAGATGCTGTAGTTATATAGAAGTCGCTGGGGCTGTTATGAGGACCATTATGTCTTTAAGGGGTAACCTGCAAAAAAATTTTTCCAGAAAGTTTGAAAAATCGACCATTCTTTGCCCCCAAAGATGCACCATTTTTCGCGCAAGTTACTTTGAGGTCTTCTCGTTCTGCACAGGGCGGACCAAATCTTTACGGCGAACATCTGGGGTAATGTCTTATTTCGGACCCATCATCCAGGCTTGGCGACCCCCGCAGACGCCAGCTGCGAAAAGAGTTGCAGTCAGAGGCAAGTTCGACAGCTTGTAATTTCTGAGCGCAAATCGCAAAATTCGAGTGCAGCTGCGGGTCAGAAGCTAACAGCTTCCTCAATCAGGTCACTCATGATTTGGACGAAATTCTTTGAACTGCACAGAAAAAGGGCGCAGGAAGAAAAATTGCGAAATTTTTATGGTTGGAAAGATTTCCTTTTTTGATGTGCAGGTGGAACACGTCTTGGCATCGATAGAAATCAGAAGCGGTATTGAAAACTTTACGCTTCGCTCTCGCTTTACTGAATACTATACAACACTTAGTGTCAAAGTCCGACCGAGCGCCAAAAAAAAAAATGCATTTGAAAATGAAGTTTTCAAAAGTGCCCCGGAACTTTCTTTACAACCTAATACTCGCTTGCGACCTAACAATGAATTAAGACCTTCAAGGAAAGATGTTAACCGTTTTTTCATAGCTGCCATTTTTGAGATACCTTTTCACCTTTTTCGATATTGCTTTTCCTTACAACAAATTGCCAATGGAAACCTTTTTTCATTCTCACTTTAAAGACATCAAGGCCGGAGAGTCAAAATTATGCAAGAAATGTATCGAACTTACCTACTGATCTCAGAGTGTGGATGTCTCCCCGTACTGTTTGGACCTACTGTAGATGCGCTTAACTCAATATCAATTTCAGGATCCTGCGCAGCACCTCATTGATCGACAACATGAATGATGAGTGGCATACTGGCATACCTTTGCTCGACTTTCCCGATGAAGAATCCCAGAGTAATCTTTGATGATCTTTGCTTCCGTTTGTCAGAGCTTACAGATTAGGAAAATGATTTATGTTGGGGGTAGTGGGCTGTTCTGAAGATTCTATCTTTAGTTTAATATCAAGTTATCGTAAGGCTTTAAAAATAATCTGCGCGAACGTAATAAGTCGGGTTCTGTTCGTACGTATCAACTCTAAAAACACTTGGAAATTCTTGCAACGAAAACGAGAATGATTTTCCAACCAAACTACTTCGATAGCCCCTTTGAAAACTGCTCGTTTGGAAGTAAAGTAAAATAGTAAAGTTGTTGCTCATTATGTAGCCGATAGTCTCCTTGGCGATAATACAAATAGATTCACTGACGAAAGCTTCGCAATCGCATTGTGCCCAGTATTTATAATGCAACTTATAAACCAACGGCAGGTTATGCTAACACCAAATATGTCTAACAATAAGTTAGAGTTGAGAACTTCATCTTGAATCAATAACATAATCCAACAAACAGAAATGTCTTCGAAATAGAGCTGATTCTTTACCTGTGATTTTATGGAAATGAGGTGGAAAGGAAAAACTCTATTCGCTTTTTGCCACCATTTTTATCATTTACTAGCTGCATACCCGGCTCCGCATGACCCTTCAATATTATAGAATAACCTCCATGCCTTTATTACCGTACAAAAATAATCTGTCCCGTTCCCCAATTTATGCCAGCTGACCCCGCTGTGCATTGGCGATTACCATATGCTCACTCCCCCCCCCCCCACCCCGTGCGAACTCTCAGCCCTGAACCTCAAAGCATGTAAAATTCGATAGACTCGATGGGTCGATAGCAAAAGTAGCCCACCCCCTTTCTTCCCTCCCCCCCCCCCCCCGAAGTCTACTATGCATTCGAGAAATCGTGACGATGACACGCGCGACACGCAGGCAGCTCCGGGTACCTCATTCTACAGGGTGCGCCAAAATATTCAAAGTAATGCCACAACAATGGCCATGAGAATAATCTGGATTTAATGTCACAGAATGCCGTAAGCATACTCTACAAAAAGCACTATCAAGATCCCAAATCGGTCTTTATTTAGAGAAGTAAGATTTGCAAAAAGCAATGTTCGTGACAGAAAAGCGCCAGCTGACGCAAATTATTAAATAGGCAAAATTTTTTAAAAAGCTCCTAAAGATTCCAAACCTCAGTGACTTCAAGTCTAAAATTAGCTCTATTATACAGCTAAATCTTTGCCTGAGAGAAGCGTTCACTAAAAAGATACATGCTGGGCAAATTTGTGGGTCTCTACCCGCGTGCAGCACGCAACAAAGCCAAAGAAATATTGCGAATTTTTACCGAAAAGCAGAACAGGCGATTTTACATTTTGCAACTAAGCTACAATATTATTGAACCAAGAAAACAATATCAAGCTTGACCGCTGGCTAAGCCGGTCTTATATTCGTATGGCGCTTAATGAAACACGCGCAAATTATTGTGGCGCACCCTGTATTGATTTTCTATATCTACTTAGTTAGTTTTTCTGCATACTTACGATAGTAATTAAACATTGGAGGTGACTACGCTGAGCGTTAAGGTCTTTTTGTATGAGTTTATGCTCCTATAGGTGCAAACAGAGCAGTCAAATTCGTCGTCACGATTTTATAATTGACCTATACGTGTGAAAGTGTCCGCATTTGTTCAGAAATGATGGATTTCCCATACGGACCATATGTACAGTCAGACAGACATACATACAGACACACACAGAAATTCAGCTTTATATATAAGCTTTATTAATCTTTATTAGACTAGTGAACCAATAATTGAAGGTGCTAGAATGCATCCACGCGCGCGCTGGGACCATCACGTTTCACGACCCGTTTTTTGCAGATTTTTGAATTGCGCTTACGTTTTTTTATATATCAGACTAATGAACCAGTTTAAAGGTGCCATATATCTGCGCGCTTCGGGACCGCCACGTTATTTGCAGATTTTTGAAATGCGCCTACGTTTCCTTTTACATTAGATTTATTTATTCATTTATTGTTATCTAGTCAGCCATTCATAAGCAATGCATATGAATGGCTCTTTAAAAACTAGCGGTCTAAGGGAGGCAAAAACGGGTAGATTTCGTAAAACAGTCTAACACATTCCAAGATGTTCTAGTCAGAACGTTAATGTTCATAAAGTGAATACACCATGGCCGGTAGTAATCTGGTCGAAACTCCGAGTTCAAAGCTGCGCGTTAACTCAGAGTTAACTTCGAGTTTTGTTTTCAAACTCAGAGTTAACTCCGAGTTTCGTATCTGAAACTCGAATTTTCGAACTGCTACTTGCGGAGCCGCTATAATTGTTGAGGAGCTACCACGCCCTTCATCGCAAAATACTCTGACTAGGTCGGGATTCGCACTTTCGTTTCTCGGCTCGAAGTGCCTACCACCAGACCACTAGACCTCGGAGCCACTCTTAAGAAGTTGCAAGCAACGACTTATTAGATCCCCGTAATCAAGATCTCACATGTTAGGACACGTGGAGAGGCATTAGGCCTGCCTGTGAGATGCCTGGCCATAAAGTATCCTAAAGATTCTTGAACATGGGCATAGGAGGCCGTAATCAACAACCCGTCCCCCTCTGTCCCCACCTATTTTGGTATGCTTCATACTCAATAAAATTTGAAAGTCTCTGTTAGTACCCAAGTTTTCTCGACTGACCTACATCTATAATTTGTAATCTTAACATTGACCATAATTTTGAAAGAATAGACTTCAAGTAAAAAAAGTCTAGAGGTTATTGAAATCGAAGTAAAATTTTCAAAGACCTCTGTATAAAAAACAAATTTCAAATAATATTTTGAGGTTTCTATTAACAAGACCATAGAAAATTTTAAAAGTAAAAACCAAAAAATACGACCTAATACCATTGCTTCTTTGCTAAAAAAAGTTCCAAGATTTCCGCCATTATTCCGTATGTGCCTACCGCGATAATGCCCTTTGAAACGGCCAGTATCCATGATTGCACTGCCAAAGGAGCCGCGAAATTTTAGGCAGTTCAGCCTATTACACACTTACTTAACCCCATCACATAGTTCTGCAGTGGAAAAGAAATAGTACCTATCTAAAGTGGCGGGCCGAGAGGCGGAGGGAAGGGGGGGGGGGCAATTTTTGAAATTTACTAGCGTGATAAAACGTGCAAGTTCTTGTAAACAATGGAAATAACTTTGAAAATTTTTGAAAATTCAAACTAGCCATGTAAAAAATTTTTCTGGGAGCAGAAGCCGCCACGCCCCCTTTTCCTAGATTTTGGGGGTTATGGGCCAGCAAAAATTCTAAGAAGCACCCAAAAAAATTCCGGAGTAGTCACGCACATTAAATTGAAAAATTTTTTCGTCGCCCTCCCCCCCCCCCCACCCCGGACGGAAATTCTGCCTCCGCCGTGGTATCTAAGTATTTAGCAAACAAAGTTCTAAGCAAGATATTTTGATCCATCTACCGTAAATCCATCGAAACCCCTCCATGAAAAGTATTTCCATGCGGTTATGATATTCGTATTTACGTGCGGAATTACCCCACCAACTCAAGTTTCGTTGTATCCTGTGATTTTGGCTAATCTACCGTGTCTCTACCGTAACCCCGCCCTGCAATGCTGCAGTGAAAAATGGCATATGATCGTAGTCAACACAACGCATAACGTTAGTGAGCCAGAGAATTTTAAGTCTATCATGTCTTTGTTTTGATTAACAAATTCCTACCGTAACCCTGAGCTACCGTAACCTCGCTAAATGGACCCGCAGTCACAAATGAATGTCATACTCGTGATCAGCGTGCCAAGAAACCCCACAATACCAATTTTCACTTGATTTAGTAATTTTCGCCCAACTACCGTATAGCTACCGTAATCCCGATTTGTGGCACCGTAGCGAGAAATGATTATCGTATTCGTGATTAGCGTGCCAAACAATGCCCAGTGTACCAAGTTTGCAGGCGATTTCGTGATTTTCGCCCAACTACCGTATACCCACCGTAACCTCGCTATATGGGAGAATGGTGAAAAATGAATATCATAGTCGTAATCAGGGTCAAGCAAGGGGTGTGGCACACGATCGCCGGTCACAACCCCCCTCCCTGATTGCTGTCTCAATAAGACCCCCCCCCCCCTCTGAATTATATATCTAAGACAGCATTACCTGAGGGCTCTGTCAAACATAATGGGCAAAATATCCATAATGAGCATGTCAATCAACCCCTGTGGACGAAGTTTGAGCGAATTTTGAAGATTCAAGATACTAGGCTGCCTAAGTGAAATGGTCATATTCCAACATGGTTAACTTTGTATCAAAGATGAATTAGCTATTCTTTTTTGCGCTCAAGACAAAGCACTACTCCTTCTTTGCCCATGTCAGAAATCTCGCTTCAAAAGACCTCCAAACTGTAGAATTAGAAGCCAACCAAAATCTTATTATTCCCATTTTTCGCTTTTAATAGCTGTGCTTTCACCAAATATTACTCAGACCTAAGAAGATGAATCAGGCTTAAAACATCTCTGTGGAATCTACGAGGTTTAGGCTATCGATTCATATAAACATTGGGGTGTGGCGCACCCCCTTAAAAGCTGTGGCAGCCACAGCTTTTGAGGGGGTGTGCCACACCCCATTAACTATGTCATAAAGACATTTTTAGCAAACCTTATTTATATGGATCGATAGCTAAACCTCGTAGATTCCACAGAAATGTTTTAAGCCTGATTCGTCTTCTTAACTCTGAGTAGTAACTGGTGAAAGCACAGCCAAAAGCGAAAAATGGGAAAAATGAGATTTTGGTTGGCTTCTAATTCTACAGTTTGGGGGTCTTTTGAAGCGGGATTTCTGAGATGAACAAAGAAGGAATAGTGCTTTGTGTTGAGCGCAAAAACGAATAGCTAATTCATTTTTGAAACAAAGTTAACCATGTTGGAATATGACCATTTCACTTAGGTAGCCGGTATCTTGAATCTTCAGAATTCGCTCAAACTTTGTCTACAGGGGTTATTTGACATGCTAATTATGGATATGTTGCCCATTATGTTTGACAGGGCCTTCAGGTAATGCTATCTTACAAGGAGAGGATACTTAGTCGAAAGCACCAATCCAAAGAAGACATATATCATCTGAAAGCGCTTAAAACGCTGATTCCAAATCCGTAGTTTCTAGCTGCGGAACGGTTTTGTTAGAAAGAGGTATGAGCGGTGTTTTTCTGTGGGGTTGAGGCGCCCTTCAGATGTCGGCTGTCTACGAGCATTATAGAAACACAAAATGGTGTAATGGCAAATAATCTGAATGAAGATTACAATAAGGATTTTAATACTCATATTAGCTTGGTTTTTTAACACTTCTAACTTCAGATCATCAGAAATGTCAGGCTTTAGGGCTCCAAAGCCATTTAGAAGCTCAATTTTGCAAAAATTGCGATAAATTTGCATGCGAAGGGATTGAAATCTTGACACTTTCTCCATCAAGCAAGTCACTTACCATTAGGCCAGTTGCCACCAGTTGGTACTCCTCTACAACCCTCATAGATAAAGGGAGACCTGCTGGAGGGCGCCTCAACCCCAGAAGGGAACACCCCTTATACCTCTTTCTACAAAACCGTTCCGCAGCTAGAAACTATAGATTTGGAATCAGCGTTCTAAACGCTTTAAGATGATGTATGTTTTGTTTGAATTGGTGCTTTCGACTAGGTATCCTCTCCTTGTTAGGCATATAATAGGGGGGGGGTCTATTAAGACAGCAATTCCGGGGGGGGGGGTCGTAACCAGCGATCGTGTGCCACACCGCTTGCTTGACCCTGTTAATGACTATCCCTCTCGCGCAGAACCGGCGATGGCGACATCACTAAGTTTCGAAGAAAACCCTGCTGAGGGAATGCACGTCCAAAAATGGTCCGTGTTTTGTGTTTTGTTTTTATGACATAGTTAATGGGGTGTGGCGCACCCCCTCAAAAGCTGTGGCTGCCACAGCTTTTAAGGGGTGTGCCACACACCCCATTAACTACATCAAAAAAACATTTTTAGGAAACCTTCCTTATATGGATCGATAGCCTAGATCTCCTAGTTTTCATAGGAATGTTCTAAGCCTGATTCGTCTTCTTAGCTCTGAGTAATAACTGGTGAAAGCACAGCCAAAAGCGAAAAATGGGAAAAATGAGATTTTGGTTGGCTTCTAATTCCATAGTTTGGACTTCTTTTGAAGCGAGATTTCTGAGATGGACAAAGAAGGAGTAGTGCTTTGTCTTGAGTACAAAAACGGATAGCTAAATCACTTTTGAAACAAAGTTAACCATGTTGGAAAATGACCATTTCACTTAGGTAGCCTAGTATCTTGAACATTCAGAATTCGCTCAAAGTTTGTCTAGAGGGATTAATTGACATGCTAATTATGGATATGATACGAATATCATGTTATCACTGTAATTATATTACCTAACGACGACCCCCTCCCCTTTTGACTCCTCAATACGATCCCCAGGTGTGGCGTGCCACACCCCACGCTTGACCCTGGTCGTAATCAGTGTGCCAAAAACCCCCCACTGTACCGCGTCTCAGCTAATTTCGTGACTTTCGCCCAACTACCGTATCCCTACCGTAACCTCGTTATGTGGGCGAATGGCGAAAAATAAGCATCGGATTCGTGATCAGCACGTCCGATAACCCCCGAGACCAGAATTTTACAAAATTTCAAATTTTTGTATTCAACGGGCATCACGCTTAATGAAACTCGAAGCAAAATGTACCCTGGAGGACTTTTTAGCTGCACCTCTGCGTTTGCACACTATTTCCTTCCTCTAACCAAACTCGGAGCTGACTCCGAGTTTCGAGCGAGCCTGAAACGCGCACCAAACTCGGAGTTAACGGGCAGCTCAGCTGCGCGTTTCGTCGCCTAGCGTCTCGCGTAAAACGAGTTACGCCGTGTTTCCATACTTGGCATGAAGTACGTCTTGAGCGGTATCCTGCCATATCACCCTTTACCCAGTTTGGTTTCTTTACGCAGGTGTTAAAGGTCCCTGAAAGGTGCGTGTTAACTCGGAGTTAACTCTGAGTTAACTCTAAATTTGAGCTGCGCGTTTCGACAGGTTTACTACCGACCCAGAGAACTTCGCTCATTTATTAACGTGTCCCACCATCAAAAAGAGGATCGCTGAACAAATACAGCAGTGCACTCATCAATTTACGCATAACATACACTAATAAGATGTCTGCTATCGTTAGCGAGACCTTTTCAGGGTAGTCTATGATTTTTTGTTCGATTTTTTGACTAGAGCCCGCAAACTCGCTTCTTGGAGATGTTTTTTCAGCACCTACGTATTCCGATCAAGTCGATACCGACGACCCCGAAAAGGAAGATCCTATGTATGAAGTTTACACGACTGTACTTCATCAGGTATCTGCGTGATTCATTCTGCTGTAATTATACCAGGTTTTTCAGTTTGCGCGAGACGGGATCGTGGAAGCGATTAAATACTACTTAGACTCAGATCCCAAGCTTGCTAAAGAGCATAGCTCTGAGAAAGTAAGTATTGTAGAAAAACCGCAATAACTTAAGGCATACCCTCCGGCGACAGATCGTTACGATTCGCTGCAATTAGACTTCCTGGGCGACCGTTCGCTGCGTGAAAATCGCTCATCGCTCGATGATCGGATATACACGTAGCAATTTTGCTCACTCACCATACCGCATTTTAGCACTTTGAGAAATTTTGTGCTAATTTGTCTCAAGTGCATTAAAGGAAATTCGAACACATTGTGGCGCCGTATGATTTCAGAGAATATTACATTAAAAGGATATGGAATCTTCACAATTTACCTAATTTCTACCAACGTTTTTCTACAGGCATAAGTTAACATACACAAAGGCATCGACTACTAGTTCACAGATCTGCTACTAGTACAGAGGATCAGGTGACATATGGGAAGCATTCCACACTATTTATGTACTTAGCATGTGTTACGTAAGTTTTCAAGGGTTAATAATATTTAATGCTTAAAGGTAGCGGCTCGGCAGAATGACAGGTTTGGGATATTCATCGTTCTGGGTTCCCCTGGACGAGCTGAGTCTAACACTGTGCTTTGCAGCTTCAAAAGATGTCAAAAACCCGCTTTTCCTGACGTGAAAAGCGCTATTTTTGGGCGGACTTCGTAATTGCCCTTTAGAGCGCGATTGGCTCGTGAGTGAAGATACTGTACCTACCGTACCCATAAGCCAATCGCGCTCTAGAGGGCAGCTACGCGGTCCGCCCAAAAATAGCGCTTTTCCCGTCTGGAAAAGCGGGTTTTTGATACCTTTTGAAGCTGCAAAGCACAGTGTTTTACCTCGTCCAGGAGAACCCAGGACGATGAATATCCCAAACCTGTCATTCTACCGAGCCGCTGCCTTTAATGACCAGGGTCAAGCGTGGGGTGTGGCACGCCGCACCTGGGGGGGTCGTACTGAGGAGTCAAAAGGGGAGGGGGTCGTAGTTGGGTAATCTGATAATAGTGATGACATGATATTCGCATCATATCCATAATTAGCATGTCAATTAACCCTTGTAGACAAGGTGTGAGCGAATTCTCAAGATGCAAGATACTAGGCTACCTAAGTGAAATGGTCATATTCCAACATGGTTAACTTTGTTTCAAAAATGAATTAGCTATTCGTTTTTGCGCTCAACACAAAGCACTATTCCTTCTTTGTTCATCTCAGAAATCCCGCTTCAAAAGACCCCCAAACTGTAGAATTAGAAGCCAACCAAAATCTCATTATTCCCATTTTTCGCTTTTAATGGCTGTGCTTTCACCAAATATTACTCAGACCTAAGAAGACGAATCAGGCTTAAAACATCTCTGTGGAATCTACGAGGTTTAGGCTATCGATCCATATAAACAATGGGGTGTGGCGCACCCCCTTAAAAGCTGTGGCAGCCACAGCTTTTGAGGGGGTGTGCCACACCCCATTAACTATGTCATAAAGACATTTTTAGCAAACCTTGTTTATATGGATCGATAGCTAAACCTCGTAGATTCCACAGAAATGTTTTAAGCCTGATTCGTCTTCTTAGCTCTGAGTAATAACTGGTGAAAGCACAGCCAAAAGCGAAAAATGGGAAAAATGAGATTTTGGTTGGCTTCTAGTTCCATAGTTTGGACTTCTTTTGAAGCGAGATTTCTGACATGGACAAAGAATGAGTAGTGCTTTGTCTTGAGCGCAAAAACGAATAGCTAATTCATCTTTGAAACAAAGTTAACCATGTTGGAATATGACCATTTCACTTAGGTAGCCGGTATCTTGAATCTTCAGAATTCGCTCAAACTTTGTCTACAGGGGCTGACATGCTCATTATGGATATGTTGCCCATTATGTTTGACAGGGCCTTCAGGTAATGCTATCTTAGGCATATAATAGGGGGGGGGGATCTATTAAGACAGCAATTCCGGGGGGGGGGGGTCGTAACCGTGTGCCACACCCCTTGCTTGACCCTGTTAATGACTATCCCTCTCGCGCGGAACCAGCGATGGCGACATCGCTGAGTTTCGAAGAAAACCTGCCGAGGGAATGCACGTCCAAAAATGGTCCGCGATTCGTTGCAGCGTTAATCTAACATGTACGCGAGGCGACCATGCAGTTGCGCACGCGTGTGAGGCGGCCTGGAACATATAGGCTGTACCAACTAGCATCGGTCCCGCGCTGGTTTGCCTTGCGAAGTCGCACTGTCGCATGCGACGTGCTTTAGCGCGTAGCAGAGTTAGCAGACACCGCACCAGCCCGTCGCAATTTGCCGCAGGCGCGACGTCGCATAAATCATGCTGGTTGGTACCGCCTATATGTCCGAGTTGAAAATGCGTCGCGACTGGAATCGCCGGATGTATGCTTAAGGCCTTATGCAGCATACGGCTTGCAAAAACCATTCGAAAGTGTTTTGAATAACTAGACCGGATATTTGCGCTAGCATAGCGCAATTTGCCGATGTTAGTGGTAGGGCCGTAGTAAAGCTAATTCAGTTCAGGTGAACTGAACTGAGGCCCTCATCCAAGATTCGGTAAGGTAGACTGCCTATCACCAGCTTCCCATGTAGTAAGAATGCAAAATGAAATTTCAGCTGACCGTCCGTCTACCTGACGAAGTAGTCTACCTTACTTCAGTCAGTCCACATGCAATTAGAGTACCAATTGATTTAAATAGTGTGTCAATGATGGTACACAGAGAAACTTCTTAAAGGCAGCGTCCGGGCAAAATTGACCTACCTCAGATGCTGTCACATTTCGACAGGGTCCCCCTCAACTAAGACAAAACAGCAAGTCCGCCCCGAAAATGTGAATTCTGAAAGTCAGGTGGGCGGGTCAAGTGCCGCTCCCCTTCCTCCTTCCGCTCCCCTTACGCCTACGAAGACGAGCTTACATGTTTGACGCGCCCCTTTGACGTGTCGTTGCACGCAGTGTTTCTACCTTTGACACATGTTTTCACGTGTCACTACACCAGATAAATTTCGGAACACTCGTCCGCGATTATTGAAATAGGGTTCCAGAAACGGGGGTTTTGGAGATTTCAAGCAATTCTCGGTTCGGATTTAGATTCAGGGGCGTCGATAAAGCAAGAAACGCTAGAAACATGGAAGTCGAGGTTTTGCCCGACGCTGCCTTTAAGTTACTCCTGACAATGAGTAACTTACGATACACGTCAGTTTAACATGTCGATGAGGAGCCACAGTGATGCTGACGAGACTTAACAAGATCTAACAAGTGCGGCCATATCCGCCGCTAGTCCAATGACGTAGATGTGAATGTTTGGCAAAATCGTCTTGACTCGTATACTTGCATGGATGTGGCGCTCTCAATCTTATCATCGTGGGCGATTGGCATTATCAACCAATGGCTCGACTGAAGGCAAGCTGACTCGTCGAAGCCTCAACTGAAATATTCAGCTGAGATCGAATGAAGCAGCTTTACTATGGGCCGTAGATTAATACGGACTCTGATTTATTCAGAGTAGTGCAGATGAAAGGAATGTAAGACTAATTGGAGGGTTTTGTTGTAGATATAGAGTTCTTGTCGATAGAACGAATTTGTCAGATCATCTCCGACTTAAAGGCACCGTCCACCCAAACTGGGGTTGGGATTATGATACACTGGGGTTGAGATTATGATACCTAGCAGATGCTGAGCCCCCATCTGTATAACTGCCCAATTCCGCTGCTTGAAGTTGTTCCTGAACCGAGAAAATTGCCTCGGAAATCGCCTCAGGCCGCGTTCGCGACGCTGGCTCCTCCCCTTCAGAGTGGGCGTGACGTTCGTCCCGCTCATCCCTGCGCGCCCAACCAATCACCGTACCGAAGAAATCGCTCTGCGAGTTTTGAAAATGAGGGGTTTTTCGTGGTTTTCGCGGAATTTCAACTTGATATTCGGAATCAGGGGTATGAGAAGGCCCTGGAACGGCAGAAACATGGAGGTCGAAATTTTGGGTGGACGGTGCCTTTTAAGGCAGTGTCCCGGCAGATTCGGCCAGCCAGATCCATCGCCGTCTGGTTTTTTGGTCGCTAGGCGGTTCTCTCCGCTCCAAGCCCGGGATCAGCTATCGCCCCGTGAAAATCAAGAGTAGGCCTAGTAGGTCTGCTCTTATAGGGGAAAAATTTTACTACTCCTCCAGTTAGAAGAATAGAAAGAAACTCTGCACATAGTATCTAGCCTACGGCGCCGGGTTGTAGCAAGAACGATGTCAGGGTCCTCTGGGCGCCTTCTGCCCGAACGACACGCCATGGAGACTGCCTCATGCTCCGCACCTACAACCCTAGGACATTCTCCATAAACGCCGATCTCCACGCTCCTGTCGACGCTGCAGAGCACATCAAGTACCACATCGTCGCTCTGCAGGAAATGAAGTCCAGAAAGAAGGACGTGCGACAAATGAGTTATGGGACCCTCATCATTCGTGGTGAAAAGGTTTCACCACGAAGCGTGCTAGGCGTCGGCTTTGTCGACCACCCATCTATCGTCCATCTTGTCGATTCGCGCGAGATCCTATCACTCCGACTAGCCATCCTACAAATACGCCCTCCACGTCAGAAGACCATCAGCATCATTAGCTGCTAGTTTCCAACATCAGCAGCTGACGACTCAAAACTAGATGCTTTCTACGAAGACGTGGAGGAAGTCGTCCGCGAACAAAAACGGAACCGTCTCTTTGGGCTTCTCTCCGGAGCACGACTTTTCCATGAAAACTCCCTCTTCATGAAGAAAGAACATCGCATGTGGACATGGGAATTGCCCAACGGAACGACTCACGCGGAGATCGACCACATTCTTACCAACCGAAGCTGGAGTGGCGCAGTGGCTTCGATCACCGTCTCCTTCGAGCGAAGATACGACCAGCCGAAGGCTGGAAAATAAACTTTGTCACAGCGCGTAAGAAGAAAGGAAGTCGTTTATGACGGTAACAGGCTGGGAGAGCTCATAACAAGTTGTGACTGGCCCATCGAGGAGAACCCAACGTATGACTACCCGGCTTCTGAAAGGATTGCGAGCCTGCGGAGAGTGCGAATCAGTAACTGAGAAGAACTTGGAACGTATTTTGAAAACCACCAAGGAATTGCTCGAAAAAAAAAGATTTCTGAGGCGAATGCAACCCATTTCGAGCGATTGATAGCCAATGCCAGTTGCAGAACAGCTTTGGGGGAGGATCTCAGGAAGTACAGGCGAGTTAAGATACTGGAAGCAGCCGAAGAAAGACATTTAAGAAATGCCGAAGGAAACTCTGCGAACAGTATCACGTTTTGCTGGTCGCACTATGCGAAGACGGGACCTCTACTTCTTTCCGATATAAGATGGAATCTATTGCGAAGAACTTTTGCATCAACCTTCTCCCCTCATCAACATCCGTGCCGATGGTCTTTGTTCCCTGGTGAAGTACCACCACGGATTCTTCCTGCTAAAGTGCGCACGATGTCACGGCTCCAGCACCACACTATCTTTCGGTCTAGCTTCTGCGAGCTGGAGAATAACGCCTACATGAGATTTTCGCGCCGATTCTTACATTTTTTAAGAGAAGAGAATTGGCGATCAGTGGAGGACATCAAGACTATCCTTCTCTTCAAGAAGGGTGAACGGGAGGTTTGGAACTATCGTCCAATATGCCTGCTGAGTGTGCTGTACAAGTTTTCGCGAAGATTATCCTGGCTTGCATATCCAGGACACTGAATGAAGCCCAACCCCAAGAACAAACTGGATTTCGCAAAGGATTCAGCTGCATGGACCACATCCAGGCCGCTTCGAGGGTCATAGAAGTCTCAAGCACCGAGTGCTTTTCGTCCTAACCTTTGCCGACTACGAGAAAGCCTTTGACGCGTCGAAACCAACGCCATCTCTGCGCTAGTCGATCAAGGAGTGGACCCAGCTCACGTGAGGACGTTAGCCAACTGCTTCAAGGGCTGTAAACGACGATGCAGCTATTTCATCGCCCCTGACCATACCAATTGGGAAGGGAGTCCGAAACGGCGACACAATCTCACCGAAGCTGTGCACCGCGGCTTGCAGTGGGTAAGAAGTTACTAGACTTAGACGAGAGAGGCATACGAGTTGATGGGAGATTCTTGTCGGACCTTCGTTTTGCGGACGACATCGTTCTCTTTTCGAGCAGTATCACAGAAGCAGAGACGATGTTGAAGGAACTGAACGAAGTGGGGAAGAAGATCGGATTGCGAGTAAATCGGAAGCAGATTCAGTTCATGAGGAGCGCCCTTTGCGAAAATGCAGAAATGGAATTGGAAGGCACTTCTATTGTGGAGACGTCTTCTTATGTGTATCTTGGACGTTCGATGAACATGGAGAACGATTTGAGGGAAGAACTTAACAGGAGAAGAAGAGCAGCCTGGGCCGCCCTAGGGCCTCTAAAGAGCCACCAACCAACTGGACCCGGAGCTTCGTGCCCACTTGTTCGACTCAACCGTTCTCCGGGCTCTGTTACGCAGCTGAGACTTGGGCCGACACAGCAGCCACGTCGAAACTTTACGGACCACCCACAGAGCGCTTGAGTGCAATCCTCTGAAGCTGAGTCGACACAAACAACACATTGTCGGACTTCGCAGTACGGATTCGAAGGCAGTGGCTCGGCAAATCTTAACCTGGTCAAAGTTTCGCTTACCTGGGTTATTCAATACGCTGATCACGGAAATTCACTTTAGAGAGCTCCAAAATAGCGAAACGAGCGTTTTTCAACCCCCTTCCCTTTAAAATTGGACGAGTGGAGCAAGGCTGATGACGCTGAATCGTTGCGGGACCCAATGATTATAGCATTGTGGGGGAAGGGCAGCCTCCAAGGGTGAGAAGGAAGTTACCGACCCGTCCGGGTGCGTGTAAGAATGGCTTGCGCGTGTAAATTTCAGAGCGATTTTCTTGACAGGGAAGGCATGCTGTGCAACCGGAATTGCACTGTTTTCATACTTGGACGATAAGGAACCTACTGCGTTAAGATCCTGGGTTGTCAAGTTTTGCCGATCCACTGCCTTCAAGAAGAATGTCCCGTCTTCGCGACCCAGCGGAATACGTTGCGAAGGCGAAACATCTATGGGTCGATCACATCATGAGAAGAACAGACGACAGATGGATATTAAGAACATCGGAGTGGATTCCTCGCGAAGCCCAACGTCCTCGAGGAAGATTAACGACGAGATGGGCAGACGTGTTTGTGAAACAGATGGACCAGCTGAGAAATCAGCTGGATACGAATTTCGCCCCTGGAACTCGCGGACGCAGCCACCGACGACGACCAAGAAGATCGTGGATTTTGAAGCGAAAGACAGGGATCAATGGCAGTTTCTTTACTGGGGCCCGCACGTCATGTGAGGACGGGCAACCTAAGTACAGTCGAGTAGATTTAGCGGTAAATATAGTGTGCTTGCACAGAAGGTGAAATGCGGTGAAATTGGCGGGTGAAGAAATAGTTTCGACTGTGACGCCGGCCAATTGCGCGCGCAAGATACTCGCGGTACTGACGTGGCTATTTGTTCACGCGCAAATTTCACCGCATTTCACCTTCTGTGCAAGCGCACTATATTTACCGCTAAATCTACTCGACTGTATCTAAGTAAGTCCCGGCAGATTCGCGCCTCGGGGGATATAGCTGTGATGGGGGTCCTGGTCATCCCATCAGCCTTCAAGCCGAGTCCGGCTGGTTGATGTTTCCCCGCGCCGAGAAAATATAAGCTCCTGCAAGACGAAGGCGGTCGGTTCGAGGTACGACGTGGCTGTGACGCGGCTGTGACTCGGCTGTGACGCAGCCATGTCGCAGCCGCGTTGCGCATTGAATCGACCGCCTTCGTCTTGCAGGAGCTTATAGCCCTCGAACCGGTGCGCAAATCCAATTAGCGCAGGCTTGGACTTTGCTTATCTGTTCGGTGCGGGACCCCACGACGACATTGTGCATGCACCCAAATCAGAAGTTACAGCCAGTAAGATTTTCGCACCAGGGCCTCCCAACTTTCCATTGGAATTCTCGTCCGAGTTGCATTTTGGAGATTGGGTCGCCCCACAAACTCTTTTCACCCCGTTCAATGCTGATATTCGGGTTCTGTGTTTTAGAAAGCAAAATCTGCCGGGACACTGCTGAGGTTTGGCACCCAGAATTATTGTGTATCTGAGCAGAAGCTTTGTATGAATCACTTTTAAGTACTTTTCTGCGCTAGAAGATATTGCAAACTACGCAAAAAATTTCTGAAGTAAAAACAAATTCTTCTTGCTGCAAACATACATATACACACTCACAACACAACACAACACACAACACACAACATACAACACACAACACACAACACACAACACACACAACACCAACACATACCACACATGACGCACAACACACAACACGCAACACGCAACACACAACACACAGCACAACACACAACACACATACCTGATTTATGAGTTCTTCCTAAGGTTTTTGTAGGATACCCTTAAAGGCAGCGTCCAGGCAAGTCTGGACACATGGGGATCTCACTTGGATAGTAATTTTGGGGCGCAAACTAAGCCACTGTCCAACTGGGAGCTCAGGTAGCGTTCGAACGGCTGAAATATCTCCTCGAAACTGGACCCCGCGATCGTATTTCGCATGGATTCATGGCGCAAAGCGTGGATCCTGGCGCGAAACTGCCATGAATTCATGCGAATACGATCGCGGGGTCCAGTTTTGAGGGGAATATCTCAGCCATTAGAGCACTATCTGCGCTGCCGCTTGGGCAGTGCCTTAGTTAGGACCCCAAAAGTACTTTCCACGTAAAATCCCCGTTGGTCCAGATCTGCCTGGACGCTGCCTTTAAGTACTTAGAAGTACAAGAAGGAGAGCTTCCATTTTTTCTCAGCGCTTCAATGTCTATGTTGACTAGCGTATAACCAAGCTTGAAGTTTTTGGATAATTTGGGGCAAAGGTGGTTACTTTGGTTTGCTTCCTTCCGCAGCAAATAATCAGCGGCACCATTCTAGGCGAGGTAAGAGTTTGAGTCAAAAAACGCTGAAATTTTCTCACTTTTCTAGCGGAATTACTTCAAACCTGGTCTACTCTGATTTTCAAAGTTTAATGAAAAAAGCTCTGGCGGAATTCGTTCTAGCTGACTTCCCTCCATTACGCGTCTAAGTATGGGCACTTAAAAGTCGTGGAGCTGTTGCTGGAACGAGGAGCAGACGTAAACTTGAGAACTCGTCATAAAAGGTATTCTGGGTATGCGCCTCTGCATATGGTGGCCAAGTATGGACGAAAGCCGAACAACAAGAGAAAAGGTTCCAGTAAGTCGAAACAGTATGTCTGTATAACTTAGACGTTACAAATAGAGAAATGTCAAGAATTATTGATTCATCTGTGCGACAATATTATTCTTTGCCAGAATCAGATGAAATTCTTGACGATATCGACTCCTCTACTGCCATCATCAATCTTTTGGTTAAACATGGAGCGTAAGTGCAAACCAGCGTTAAAATGACTTGTTCAAAGACGTTTCGATCTTAGAGATGTCAACATCACTGACAAATGTGGGCTGACTCCACTGCATCTTGCTGCACAGAAAAATAACGAAATGGGAGCACGCGCGCTTATCGAGAATAAGGCTGAAATCAACGTATGTTCGTTTACATTGATTCAGGAAACTATTGATTACTGAGAAACTATTGATTCATTATTGAGATGTGAAAACTGGCGAACCATTGTTGTATAACGAGGTATGTTCCAAAACACTTTCAACATATGCTGACTAAACGTAGTCGAGAAAAAATTTGAGAAAAAGTTGTAAGAGTGAAGAAATGGCGGTTTTTATGATAAACCAGTCCAAAGCGACGCTTCGCGGCGCTTTGGACTGGCTGTGTGTATGAAGTGGGATGTATCTAAAAGTTAAACTTTTCATAGGCAATAGTATAGCATCAATCTTCCAGGCATGCATAGCTTTATCGAGAAACACCTGATTAATATTGAATTAGTTTTACGCATAACGTCCTAAAAGGAACTCAAACACTCTTTCGGACAACAGCCCTCATGCAGTGCCACCCCAATCAATGTCCACAATCTCCCTGGTGCGCGAAGTCATTTTGGTAGATGTTCCAGTAGGAGCGCATCTGCTCTCTACGGGCTTCTTTTCTTCGTCCCATACTACCCTCCCGCTACTCTCCACAGACACCAAAAATTCGTCGTATTTATGTGTGCCGCTTTTCTGCCATCCCTAAAGTTCTAAGCCGAACTTCTCCCTCCCCCACCTCTTAATCGCTTTCGTCTTCTACTGAAGAGTAAAAAATTTGATGGGAATGATTGTGAGTTTTTAATAAAATCTTCTGTCAAGCCTGTTCTACTCTGAAGCTTTCCCCAGACAACGTCATATAAATATTTCTCTACACTTTTTGATCTAGCCGTAGCTTTTGGGCTTCCCTCCCTCCCAAGTGCTTCTTATTACAAAGCGTTATTTCAAAGTTTCTCCTTTGAAACATCTTCAACTCTTTGCAAATTTAAGCGCTCTCCAAAATTCCATACACAGACTTTCTTTCAATGTGCAGGCTCCTTCAGACGTTGAAAAGTCAACCGCATTCCTGTGATTTCACCTGTGGTGATGTTCTTCACACTTAGGGCTACATTAAACCTCCTCCTAGCCTCTATTTTCAAAAAAGGCAGACTGTTTTTAAAGCCATCATCTCCCAGGTTTGGCATCGTTCAGACCGCACCGTACGCGCCGGTATCCATCCGAACCCGTCCGAACCCACCGGAATCGCCGAAACCTGCCAAATGATTGAGGGGAAGGTGATATGAAGTTGAGTTATAGGGCATTTGGAAAATCGTGACAGTGTTGTGAGTGCGACACGTACGCACTTCCGACTGACCGCAGTTTCTTGGTTTTGATCTATATTTGAATGTTTTTTCTACTTACGTATGATAACATCTAGATACTGGAAGTGACTGACAAGGGAGGTGTTTTCGGTCGAAGTGGCCTTTTCACATGAAATTGATACGACTATAAAGAGCATCAAACGCTGATTCCAAATCTGTCTTCATTATCTGCCGAGCGCCTCTAGACGTCGAGTTATGAGCGTTTCTTGAGTTGAGAAATTAAATGCATAATTAGGACAATATTCGTCAGATTTGCTCAAATGGTCCAATGTTGATTATCAAAGCACTTTATTTGAACAATACCTTCTATCTAAAGCACTCATACTTAACACTGCTCTACTTGAGCGCTGAGAGGACCGTAAAATTTTATTTTACTTAGATTATGCGTTCATTTTTCGCATCAAGGAAATATTCATAACTCGACGTCTAGAGGCGCTCGGCAGATAACGAAGACAGATTTGGAATCAGCGTTTGATGCTCTTTATAGCCATATCAAATTCATGTGAAAAGGCCACTTCGACCGAAAACACCTCCCTTGTGAGCTGAATGTTGGACTGATACCTTTTTGTATGAGTGTTTTATCTCTCGTGGGCGCAAAGACCGCAGTCAAATTTGTCGTCACGATTCTAAAAAGGACCTGTACTTGTATGACATGTACATTTCACAATGCGCAGAGAATTTCACGCGCGCTTTAAGATGCCAATTTCCAGGCATATGTCTTCCCAAATTTGGCTGTTCCGGTGGGTTCAGCAGTCGGAAAGGTAGCGGCGTGGCCTGTACTGTGCCTTTTTACAGCAGATAATTCGGATTGTCTTCGCTATTGGAAGATTCTAACCACTGTTCACATTCTCAAACCACTCTCTTTCTCTCTAGGATTTTTTTTAGAAGCTCGATTTTTTTCTTTCAAGATATATTTCTAAAACTCTCCAATTCCCCGTTTCTTCTAGAAGCTTCTCTAGCCTGACCTGCTCTTTTTAGTTTTGACCCGAAGTGGCCCAAAATCTCATTACACCACACCACATAACTGGTGGTCGAAAAACCGAAAACTTGATGAGAAAATGATATCTACAATTACTGTTGCAATTGTTACAACTTTGTTGAGCAGTATTTCTGTACACTGAACTGTAAATGGCCAACGGGATTTCTACTCAAAGTCGGCACCTTTCATAATGTTAATATGCAGTCAACTGTCGCTCAGTAGCAGTAAAATTGACCAATGTTACTGCTATGAACTTGAGTTTAAAAGGCATTCCGATCAACTGCTAAAACGGAGCTAATAAATGAATTCAACCTCATATAATGTGAACGAGATGGGATAATATGCGCCTATGAAAGTTCAAAAGTTGAGCTTTTTGTAAACACAGAGACATAAATCTTTGTGAAAGCATACCTGCAGAACACGATAGAGAATTTGATTAGAGCTAATAATCAAAGCAGTTTTTGTTTAATACATACGACAGAGTTACTTTACACATGGTAAATGTAACCGCCGAGAGGCATTTTGCAAATGGGAGTTTCAAAGCCAAAGTATAGAATTGATAGAGAGCAAAAAAGGAGACTCAAAAATTTTACTGAAGTGATCGCAGAATTTTTTTTAAAAAGATTTTTTGGAATTGGTTGATATAGCTCAAAACATCTTATATATAAAGCTGAATGTCTGTTTGTCTGTATATCTGTATGTCTGTCTGTCTGTCTGTGTGTACGAAATGAGAGTTTCAAAGCCAAAGTATAGTATGTTCCGAATAGAAAATTCCATTTCCGAACCGATCCGGACCAAGCTTGGCACACATACACTTCGGGCCTCGGCGGGCGTCATAGGCTACTTTTCGTCATCGATCCATATCGATTTTATCGATTTTTATCGATTTTTCTGCAGAGTGTACCTACGGGGCTGGGAGTTGGCACAGGGGGTAATCGAGCATGGGGATTCCGAGTACAATAATAGTTTTCAGGATTATCGATTACTTTTATCGATTTTATCGATTTTTTTGCAAAGTCTGACCTGCAGGGCTTGGAGTTTGCACAGGGATTAATCGAGCGTGCGATTACGAATACAATATTAATTTTTAGAATTACGATTACTTTTATCAATTTTATCGATTTTTTTTGCAAAGTTTGGGCTGCGGGGCTGGGAGTTGGCCGAAGACTTCTGGCGAATTGCCAATTCGCGTCGCGACTGAAATCGCGTGAAGTATGCCCGGCCCTTTACATGCTGATTACAGATATCACACTTTCTCCGCAGAACGTCTTCCCGTGTGGTTACGATAGGTGTACGGTAGGAAGTCAAAATCATGAATTCGGTTGGAGTTCGGTCAATATGGCTTTTCGACATGCTGATTACGAATATCATTTCTCTCTCCATGTTGGGACCTTTTCATAGAGTTGTGGTGGTTATATGGCATGGGGTCGAAAACATAGATTTGCTTTAAACTTCGTCTAGGGCGGTCATTTAGCGCGCTGAACATGAATATATGCTGATTTCGCAGGATAGCGCATTTTTTTGGGTTACGGTGGGTGTACAGTAGATGGGTCGAAGTTCCAGATTTGGTCAAAACCTTACCTGCAACGGTTCACAAGTATATCGCTTATGAATATGATGCTTGCTCGCTGTCATAACGCATTGATGAAGTTAGGTGAGTTGCAGGGTTTGAATGGACATTTTTTTGCTTTCGGGACAATTTAGATCCCAGATATTCACGAAATGGGGAAACGGTCGTCATGGCGGTCTCCAGCGCCTCCTGATAACCTGTCCCAACGCGTAACGCACGCGGTAAATCTCCCTCCTCTGTTTTTGCTTAGGCAAAAGCCGCCGAAGGGTGTATCGCGCGCGGCAGTGGTGCTTGCGCTTTATATAGAGTAGGATGAGGCCGCAGTAAGGTGCATTTTGCATAATTCCATCACAGATTTTCTACATTTGTTGCGCTGAAGGTCCTGCCAAGCCCCGACATAGGTCTTTACTGACTTAGCTTTCCGCTTCCACTTGTCAAAAGGTCTAAAAAAAGTGCAATATTGACCTTTAAAATTACACTGCTGAAATCATGTTGGCAATTATCAAATCCAACCGATGTCGTATTTACGATGTACATAAACGCACAGCGCAAAGGAAACCAACAGTTGATCCCTAGTCTCAGTCGCAGTCTATAGTGAACTCATGCATCGACGAGCCAATAGCGGGAACGCTTAATGTTTACAAAAAGTAAACAATCGAACTTTATTGCGAGTTTCAATGTTCCGCTTGCGGATTTATCATGGCTTCTAACGTGGTTGTCGCTCGTCTTATCGAATGACTGCGAAGAGAAGAACCAGAATGGCTTGCCTACGCCCCAACCCTCCTTATATGCAAAAACTTCGTCCACATGTGTTGTGCCTCGTCTGGGCTGAGGGATATATTCCCCAGCCCTAGACGAGGCAGAGCCTAGATCATAAGTGCTATCTTTCGAAGCAATCATTATGCCACGCATAACCTCAAAATAATCACTCCATGTATTAAGCTGTTGACTTTCTAACAGTGGTAAAATGAAGCTTCTATCTCATTTGTGAGAATTTCACCAGCATATCACAAAGCTGTACTCAAAATCGAAAATTCGTTGCTTTAACTTCTTTGCCCACAATTCAGGCGCAAATGAAGGTTCTTTTGAAAACATAGCTACTGTATTGGTTGAACATTGTTTACCTGTAGCATGTTTAAATGGACTTTTCAAAAATATCTTAACCGAGAAATCTACGCTCCAAAATAGATACTCGCTGCTGACATTCTATAGGTCCAAAGTTTCTCATAAGTAGGGCACCCGCCGAAGCTTTCATTATTTTGGCGGAAAAGCTTAGCTATTCAGTGTATGAAGAACTTGAAATTTCCACAGTATGGGACTTCGTGGCCTACCAGAAGCAATCATTATGCCACGCATAACCTCAAAATAATCACTCCATGTATTAAGCTGTTGACTTTCTAACAGTGGTAAAATGAAGCTTCTATAGGCTTATAGGCTTATAGGCTCAAAAAAGTAGACAAATTTGAATTTCTATCTTTTCTTTTCGCAGAACTTCTTCGTTGAAGTCTTTTCTAAGCACACGTATACTAGTGGCTTACGTCTACAAAATAGGCTGATTAGTGGCCAACGGAACAAAACTTGAAAGGAGTTGTAATCTCTCAAAGTCGAGGTTGTCAAAAGAAAAACCTTCGGTTTTTTGACGCATGGTTTTCTTCCCGTTTGCGATATCAGTAAGCGCAGGTGCGCGTCAGGTTAGGAAAGGTTTACTGCTTCATATGGTTTTGATTGCATTCAAAAACATGAAGAATGTACAAAGTTATAGCCTTTTAAAGTAAAGCTTTACAAAACGGACATTATTTTTGCAACAACCTAATATTTTGGACAGACGCGTCCACTTAGCATTCAGTCGAAATGAAAAATTCCACCGAAATACATTATCAAAAATATCTTCAAAAATTGCAAATTGTTGTGTAGTAAAATCAGCATGCATAAGAATCCTCTATACGAATTTCCAGATCTTTTGCGAAGTATTTTTATAAGGGCTATTTCAATGATGCTGCATGGTGGAAGTTCATAGCGTAGTTTTACAGCAATGAAGAGCCATCAATGATTCGCTCAGACTATCAATTTGAGTTAAGCCACTTCTATAGAATGGCACTTAAGGGGCGACAGAAGAGCGTAGAAAAATATTGAACATAAAAAGTGAGTGCATACTTCGGGATCGCCCTGCATATAATGCAAATAACACCAAATAACAGTAAATACGAACAGTGATAAGTAAATACGACATACGAACTTTTGACTGTAGACAATGTCCCACCTTTCACTATGGGCATGCAATATATTACCCTGAAAACTGACAAAGTCTACATAAAGGCAAGACGAGCAGAGTCGAGCATTAGAATTGAATTGTATCCTACCGTTGGCGAAGGAATTTAGTATAATCGCTAAGAAGACATCTCAGAGCGCACGAGAGGGCAGAGTTTGTAATTCAAATGATCAAAGGGAATGGAAGAGAGAATTTTCACAAAAAAAACTTTGAAAATTCTTCCTCCAAAAACATGAAAAAATTCGTCCTTCCAACCATCACGTGAGCAGTGGCCTTCGCCTTATGTAGACGTAACTTACCGAGTTCACACATTGCTGCCGTCCTTACGCTATGTTGTCTCAGTGTGGCTATTATCCACTACTTTCGTGCGGATCACTAGCATTGCATTGCCCTTTGTATGCAGTAAAGGAGACCTTTGTCCTTTTGTCGCTATGCAAAAACAAGAGGGACTTCATTTAGACTTCCGCAGAAGACGAACTCCACGAGAGACGTTGATAAGAAATTACGGTAGATCCTGCTCGGAAAACATCCATCATTTAACATAAGATATCTACATCAGAAAACCTAGAAATGGACAGCTTATCATACTGTTTATTTTTTGCGCATGCAAACGGAAATTGGTTTATCATTCGCCGTCCGTTACAAACGTACCTTGCATTGTATAGGGCCATTTTTTGAATCCTCGCACGGTGCGAGATCGCGCAGCATTAAATTCTTCCAAGCTGCTGAAAAAACCGGAAAGCAGCCCGTACATGTGTGGATGAATGTATAGGTTAAACGCTCTGCTTTTACCCACAAGGCGATGTCTACATTGCCATTTGCGTGCCACCAGAGAGGAGTTGTTAATAGCGCAAGGCAGCACATTCTAAAATAGTAAAAAAAGGATTAAGAGTGACAGCAAACGCAACAGATTTTCTGATGGCCGCAACTTTGAGTCATATTTTACACGGACAAGTCGCACCTTTTGCAATTATCAAGCATGCCTCTCATTGTGTTTTGAAAAGCGGCGTTTATGCCACAAGTTCTCACAGGCAATATGCAGCACGGTATGAAGGTTTTTCGCCGTGAAGTCCTTCGACTAGTTTGAGTTGCTCGATTTTGAAAAAAAATCCGTGCTTTGTAGTAAAATTATGGTATTTACAACTTATATCAATAGGTAGACTTTTTGTCTCAATTACGTAGCATCGAGAAGCGACAACCGCATAACCCTTGGGCATTTTGCCAATCATTGCATGAAGCTGAAAGATCCGGATCTTTTCATCATATTTCGCTTCTACAGTTTTGCAATCCCTGTATTTCACTCTCAAATTTTTACTTAATTGACTTTATTCGCATGAAGGATTTACTCGAGAAGAATCAAAACTGTACAGGTATTTTGACATCTTGGATAAAAAGAGAAAAGATGAAAACAATTTTTCCTGCAGTTTCGCCAATAAGTAAATGAACAAGAATCTAACGGATGATCAAAAATCAATACTCTACGAATCTTTTGCGGGTTGGGGGTAGTATGTGAGAAAGGCAGAGTAGAGAAATACTTGAAATAGAGTTAGAAAAAACGTGATATATTTTCAGCGTGCAAGAAAGCAATCTCACTGAGTTTGAGGCTTGCAGTGGATGTGTCTGCAGGAGCCAAGAAATTCTGAAGTTCGCAAAATCTGGAAAATCTACTCTTTCTCTCACATCTTTGGTTCCAGCATTCGTTTTTGCTTTTAGCTGACAAATGCGAAAAAGTAGGGTCGTAAACGAAAAGAAAGTACTGACACGAAAACAAAAAGAGAGAATGGCAACATCAAGGTTTTCGTGATTTACGACGTGCCAGAGTATCACTGAAAAAATTGTATTGTAGAAAACAGATAGGAATGGCATTTCTCCCCTGATGATGGCTTGCATCCACGGTTCTGCTGAGTTCTTTCATCTGCTGCTCTCTGCTGGAGCAGATTACACATGTATGGACAATCGCGAGAATACTGTATATCATGCGGCGGCATTCAGCGGGAACAATGAAATTCTCCAGCTCTTGGTCCGCTCTGGTACTTATGGTCAAATGTGTTATTTATGTGACATAATTTATCCGTTTTATGACGAGGAGACCTTCAACGAATGCTGTATAGAGCAAATAAAGACGGTAAAACTCCACTTCTCTTGGCCGTGGATCGAAACCATCCAAGTACTGTGAAACTCATTCTTACTCTGATGCCTAGAGATCGCCCAGATATAGACGAGTCTGCATTTGTCCTTTTACTCACTGTTACTGTCCTGTGATTTGCCTTTTAGAATTCAACAGTGGCCGTTGCACACCGCCGCCAAGAAAGGCTATCTCGATGTGTGCAAAACGCTGATCGAGGTAGATTGTCATCATTACTGCCAGATATCTTTGGCAAAAAACGCAAAAATTCAATTCTTCACGACTTCAGAACGGATACGACTACCACCTCCGTTTGCCTGATCATCAAATGCAGCTTCCACTTCACAAGGCTGTGCAGGCAAACAGAGCTGATGTTGTGCGGTATCTGCTTAAAATCGCTGTAAGCTATCCAGATTCCAATACGTTTTGAGAGAATGGTTTTGAATGTAATGAAACTGCTGCGAAGGTAGTGTCAGTATCGATTGCTTGTAAGAAGTGGCTATGCGGTGCAGAAGTCAAAGTGGGTTCTATCGACCTGTGGATGCCTAAACTTTTTCTTAAAAAAACCATGAAAGCAGTGATGTGTGCATGCTAATTGAAATTGTCATAATTAGTACAGGAAGCCATAGGAACTTGACGATTCTGATGTTGATTTAGTGAGAAGTTCAGGGGGTCGTATTGAGGGAGTTTTTCTATTCGGGCAACCAAATTCATGCGGATCGACGTTTACTCTGCGAGATAGCGCTTGCATTCTTTGATTCTCTGCTTTAGTATCCTAATTTCACGCGCATAAGGCGCACCTTTTTTGGTTTTTCGAGCGCGCCGCTCAGCCGCCTCGTTGTGTTTCGAAAAACGAAACTTATGCCGCAGGAACTCTCAGGCAATACGCAGCACTGTAAATAGGTTTTTGGTCGCGAAGTTCTTCGGCGCGTTTGTGCTGTTTGATCTAAAAAAATCCCCCGCGTTCTATCCGCGTGAAATTAGGGTACTTTGAAAAGCGACATGTTGCGTTATTGCATAGCAACGTTAACTCACTGACCGAACACAGAAACTGAAGTTCAGCCTGACACTATTGATGGGAGCAACCAACATTGCATTAAACCATTTCTCGCGGCCGTATCGGTCAATGCACTTGAGGCAGTCAAGGTTTGGGCTGTTCTGATCAAATTTGTCCATATCAAACATATGAAAAGGATTGGAGGTGCTCATTGAACATAACGCCGACATATTCCCCAACGACTGCGACGAAGAATCGCCCTTCATGCTCGCGTCAAAGTATAATGCTGTTGATGTATTGTCGGTAAGCGTGTTGTGATGAATGTTTGAGTGTGACATATTTTTATCTCTCTCACTGACATACTGAAAACTCATTGAATTGTGCGTACCTCCTTAAAGGTACTCCATCCAAACTGAGAGTGATGAGATTCTGATGCTTATAATAGCGGAGCCTCTAACTAAGCAATTGCCCAAGTCTTGCTGCGAAAGATGAATTCCAAACTAGAAAACCGCTCTAGGTGGTAAGCAGCCACACTTTTTCCGCCTTGGGTGTCTGAAGATAACACGTGTAATGGGCTTTGATGTATCCAGAATTATCATAGGACCATTCCCATTATGACCAACAGATCTGCGACCATTTTTGTACCCTGAAGCCCAATTTCGGATTTTTATCTTTATTCTTCCCCCCCCCCCACTTTGCTGAGCGAAGCCAGCGGCCGCTTCCTTTTGGAGCGGATTTCTCGCTTTACATCAATCCTTTGCAATGAGACTTGAGCGACGCTTTGGGGCTTCGCCATTATTTGAGTTAGAAACCTCACCTTCATTTCGAATGCCCTGCGAGGACGGCAAGTGGACACCTTGTAACGAATTGACCTTTGCCACCTTCAATTTCCACGAGTTCCCACTTGATTGCCAGCCGTGTTGCAATTGGAGCGCTTTTTTTCTTCGGGAGGACCTGCGTCATTGCTGTTTGGACCAAACATAGAGGAAAGAAGTCCTGAAACCAAAATGTTACCATAACTAAATAAACGCGTATAAGGCGCGGGGGATTTTTTTGCAAAATATCGACCAACCCAGACAAGCCAAAGGACTTTACAACCAAAGGACCCTATAACGTGCTGTATATTGCTTGAGAGAATCATGAAATGTAAGGATTTTTTTTCGGAATAAATACAGTGAAGCGGCTGAGCGGCCCGCTTGAAAATTCGAAAAAGGGCGCCTTATACGCGTGAAATTAGGGTAATAAACTTTGGATGCAGAACAGATTTAGGTGAAAGTTAGAAAAAATCATCTTCTGAGTGTTTTGCGTTTTCGTGGTGGCAATGGGTGGGCATATGCCTACCTGATTTGGAAAAAAAAAGCACACTTTTTATTCACATTTGTTTTTCATATAAGTTCGAACTTTGTTCGCGCTCCCTATAGCACATATACACGCCAGGGTTAGAACCGATTTGCTACCAGTGCTTCGCAAACGAGCCAATTTTCCACTTTCTTGAATTGTTTCGGATGTAAACAAACTACACATCAAAATACCAAAGTGTTCAGTTTTGGCGAGTCACTGCCTTTGGGTTCTTCATATCCAGAAGCTTGTGGTAAGAGTTTTGTAACATTCGGACAAAATTTGCCTCTGAATTTATGCGGTCCACTGGTGGGCGCTCAATCTCTTGAACCTTCTGTCGACTTCTTTGAAACAGAAGAAAGTATTTTATGCTGAATAATCGTACCTCCTTAGCTGCAAAACAGAGATGCGGCTAATCGTAATTGCTTATCCTGCTGTTGCTGCGGAGACTGCTTGCACTTTGTGGTTACGTTGTAAAGAAAGCAAATTTTTGTTTGGAACCTATTCCTCTTCTAGCATATGGACTTCCAAGGAAATGCCCATTGAAAATGCAGCTAATTGGTAAAGGTTACCCCTTTTGCACTTTGGTTTCTTGAAAGTGTACTAGGCAACATATTAGGCTGTGCGGAAATTAATGCAGGTTTTGAATTCCAACCGCAATAAGTCATACACTTCTATTTCTAAGGTTGCAAATACCATTCGATAAAACAAAGGCTCTACAAGATGGCTATCTTGCTTTAGCAACAGCTTTGTTCCACCACGAGTTTCGAGCCAAAAACTGAAAAGAATTCAATTGCCCGAAGCATTGAGAAAAATCGTGACTCAGTTCATAATTTTACAAAAATTCTAACGTGTCCACGTAAACACAATTCACCTAAGGCATGTATATACGCCGCTGCCGTATTTTTTCCCTGTTGAAAATCAAGAAAACGGAAATTTTCGTGCTTCGCCAAAGTGGTGTTGTGCCGTTCCCACATAAGCAGTCGTATACTACGAACCTGTAGAAGTACAAACGTAAATTTCCAGCTCTCTACAAGCTTTAGTTCTCGAGAAATATCGAATACAATTCTCCCTAGTCATGTGGTCCAAGCTAAAATTCAAATTTCTCGAGAACTAAAGCTTGTAGAGAGCTGGAAATTTACGTTTGTACTTCTACAGGTTCGTAGTATACAACTACTTATGTGGGAACGGCACACACTTTGGCAAATGCACGAAAACTTCCGTTTTCTTGATTTTCAACAGGGAAAAAATACGGCAGCGGCGTATATACATGCCTTAGGTGAATTGTGTTTACGTGAGCAAGTTAGAATTTTTGTAGGATTTTTATGAACTGAGTTACGATTTTTCTCAATTTTTCGGGGGGTGGAGGACATTAGGTCGCCGAAAGAGGGCGGTCCCCGCGGTCATTTGCGACAAATACGCACCCTTGTTCATACGCGGACATGCGTTCCTGCAAAGAATCCGCTCGGGACTCTTCCAAATTTGGCGACCTAATGTCCTCCACCCTTTTTCGGGCAGTTGAATCTTTTTAGTTTTGTCTCGAAACTCATGGTGGATCACAGCTATTGCTAAAGCAAGATAGCCATCTTGTAGAGCTTGCTTTGTTCTATCGGATATTGTTTCGCAACCTACTTAGAAATGAGAAGTATATGACTTATTGCAGTTGGAATTCAAAACCTGCATCAATTTCCGGACAACCTCATAGCAGGGAACTTCAAGAAGATTCAGTCAAAAGGCGGTGACTTGAAAACCTTTTAGAAACCTGAAAACCAAGAATTTCTTTTTGAAATGCGCTTTGTTTTTACCCTATCTACAACAGATGACAGAAGTCTGCAAAGAATTTGTTCATATTCTTCTCTGCAAGAACTAGGCCACTTCAAAAATTCCTTCGCCTTTTCAAAAAATCAAACTTCCTTTGTATTCAATGGATTTTCTTAGAATTATTTTGAAAGAGATTTCCATGCACTTTACAGAAGTACCCCAGCCATGAATTAGTATGAGAACATTCGAGAGTTAGAAGCAATATAAGAAATTACTCAATATTGCCATTTTTCAAGCAGGGTAACAAAAATTTCTGAAGGTATTTATGTTTGATAGAGAAAATTGGGCACATTACGGTGGCATTTTTTCGATGAATTAAAACGAGAAGGATCGAAAGTCAGAAGCAATGAAGAGAATAATTCTAATTTTGCATTTTTTAAGCATGCTAAAAAAATCAAAAAACGTCACAGCGAAGCCCGAAGTAGTCAAAGATATAGGTTTTACGACCTCCTCTTTTTCGCTAAGGGGAATTCGAGCCAATCGAAGGCAATTGATTATCGTTAAAAACGCAAACCCGTTCCTTCAAAACTCATAACTTTTTATAGGGACATTCTTTCAGCAGAAAATTACACTTAGCGTTAGCTTAGCGATAGAGGAGATCATGAAACTTATACTCATGCTTTTCGTTATTTTTTAACGTTTTCGGATTTTTGGTAGCTTGATTATAACTACCAAAAGTCGAGTGATCTTCTTCTCGCATTTCTATATCTGCCACTGTTGCTTATAGAAGGCGGTCGACATAAGTTAGAAACTACATGATTTTCTCATTCAAATAAAAATTATTACGAGCAAATTCATACACTTAGCAGAGAGTTATGAATTTTCGAAATATGACGCGAAGGAACTCTTCAAATGATCTAATGTGTTTCTCAGCTGATCATAACTATTTTAGTATCTTATGGATATTTATAAAAAGCAAGAGGGTGAAGGACTGACTTCCTACCTAAATATGGTAAACCAGGTCGATCATGAGCAAATGTCTCCGATGCACTACGCATGTTTATATGGATACATGGAAGTAGTCACTGTAAGTTTCTATTTAGCAAGAAAACAAAGGAACAGAAAGACCATATTGACATAAAACTGAAGCATCGTTCAGCTCCTGCACGATAATGGCGCCAGTATTGACGTCTTCAATGAAGATGAAGCTACCCCTCTCCATCTCGCAGCAAGTAGGGGGCAGACTGCATGCGGTAATTTTGATAATGTTAGCATTTTTTTCAAAGTTGACTCTAAAATTTAGGATGAGCCAAAAGTAAGTACACCTTTTCTATGCTTAACATCCCTTCTCCCACAAATTCTTGTTCAGCACTGGTAACAATTCAGTAGGCAGGCTCTAACTTGAATTTTCGCGGCCGATTCATGTGTCATCCTGTACTGCTGTGATAATATTGGAGCAACTTTGAGGGTGCACAAAATGGATGCTCAACAGGCTGAAAACTTTATCATCACTAAACTGAGTCGCTGAGCACGAATATAACATTTGCAGCTTACCGTATTTTTTTAAAAGTTGTGCCAGGTGATCCTCCAACGTTTTTTTCAGTATTTCAAAAATGCGATTGAACCATTTCAAACGCTCAAAAAAAAGCGAGCGAAAAGTGTATCCAATGAAATCAGCAGATTAGAAAACACTGCTACACAACTTTTCTAGTGTTTTGAAACCTTTCTCTTGCAAACGGCCTATTTCGCAATGGCGCTATATGCCGGAAGGTCTTACCATACTCCTACAGTAACGAAGAGAAGCGGGAGATTCGCTTCATACTACGAATTTAAGCTGAAGCCTTATCTAACAAAAAGGTATTTGAGGCTAAGTAAGAGGCATTATGGGAAGAGACACCCAGCATCCAAAGTTTATTTGTAGCAAGTCAGAAAAGTATTTCTTTTGGTTTTATAAAGTGCGCAATCAGAAAAATTTTGATTTTGTGTAAGAAGTTGAAAGAAATTCCTTGTTGTAGTCAAAACCTAATTAGAGCTTCTAGTCTTTTCTAGAATAACCGGTCATCATTACTCTCACATCAGGTGGCTAGCGCATCTTGCCAAGTCAAATGATTAATTTGCACACAAATATCAAGCGTTTCTTACAAGTCGATATCAAGCATGTATTTCTGCTCTATCCACCAAAGTAAATCTGAGTATTAGCCAAAAATCAATATAAAATCGATATCGTGAGCAAAAATTCAAAGCAAAGATTTATATCCTCTTTTTGAAACCAGATAATCACTATAATTATGTTACAGTGCGACAACTTCTGAAATGGGATAAGAATTTGGTGATGTACAGAGACGAAGATGCATGGACTGCATTGCACTTTGCAGCTTCAAATGGTAGGAATATACAAATATCTCACAGAAATTGTTTTTAGTAATTGTGCTTAGAAGTACCGGCAAAGAATCAGTAAAAAGAACGCGAATGTATATGAATTATACAGAGTGTCCCAAAAAGATGTGCACACTGTTTAATCGTTAATAACGCTCATGCTTTGATGCTTTTCGGCGAGTTTTAGGCACCATTCTGTAGAGCGAGGATGAACTTAGATTTACAGTGTGAAGCAAATCACCAATCACTCTTGGATACCGTCGGATCACGGTATGAACTTTCAGTGTACAGCGTCACTGTTGAATAACGTCCTTTTAATGAAATAATTTCGAAAAAATCTAAAAATTTGTGTAGCAAGGTTTTTAGGCGTGCTGATTTCACTACATAACTTTCCACCAGTTTTTCGAGTTTTTTGATGGCCTATTCACATTTCTGACAAACATTGAAAAATCAGTTGCTATTCTAAATCTGAAATAACTCATGAAAGAAACAGTGTACTGACGTGCAATTTTCATCTCAGAATCAACAACTTCGATTAACCCAGTTCAAGAGTTTCTGGTTTGTTTAGCTTTCTTTCTGAGGCAAAAGACCGCTTTAATGGCTTAAAATCCTCATCGAAATTCCTACCGTAATCCTACAGTAATGAGAGCTGCTGATAAGTCGCTCCATACTGCAAATCTAAGTTGAGCTCGCTCTAAAGAATGGTACCTCAAGCTCGGAAAAAGACATGAAAGCAAGAAAGTTATTAACAATCAAACAGTGTGCACATCTTTTTGGGACACCCCGTATAAAGCACAATTCCTCACGTTAGATGGATCTGGAATTTTGAAGTCGCCCCCTTTTTGACAGCAGTGGAGAGGGAGTTCCCCTCAACAACCTATAGACAGCCCCCCTCCCCCCCCCCCCCCCTGCAACTGCCGCTGCTATTATGAAGGTTAAGCTGTTCATTTTTCCATCTTTGCTGTTTGATACCCCGATCTGCGCTCGGCCAAGTTTTCGATTTTCCTTGCAACCCTAGAATACACCTGTGCAATGCTATACTCATGAATGTTCCACAGCGACTGCGTCTGACATAGGCAACTCTCTATCGGCATTGATTTCAAAAAAGTCGAAAGTGCTCTCGCGCCATTTTACGCTCTCTCACTATCGAAGTGAGCTTCCATTACTTCTAAAGCAGGTCCAGCACGTGTTGGCTTTAAGCATTCGTGAAAACATGCCCCCTACGACTTTGCAAAAGTTTTCTGAAGTCCATTTCAAGTAAGTCCTTTACAGTGTATCAAACACTTTTCGGTATGGTTGTTGGGCTTAAGGTATATCGGTATTGCAACTTTATTGGCTGACGTTGACGTTTCGGTGATCCACGCCCTCTCCGAAGTCTGAAAATGGAAGTTGTATGGGTCTATCCATTCAGATGTCAAGTGTCAGAAACAAAATAAACCCGAGGATTGATCAAAGACAAGAGAAGAATTGCATGCGATGACCAGGAGAACATGAAACATGTGTGCAAACTTTTGGGAGAAAATCAAAAAAGCATTGCTTTCACTCTACCATACCAAAAGTCAAAAACAACCGATCAACGCCTATATATCAGGTCGGTGCAAAAATAATGCGCGTTTTGCGAGCTCAATCTGACGCACTATAACTTTCCAAAAATCTACAATTTTCATTGCGATAAAGACCTTCAGAGGCAGCAAACCTTTCGCAATACAGCGCACATTCATTTATACTCATATACAAATGGGCAGAAAAACATGGATTGATAAGCAAAAAAAATTTTTCTGAAACCTCGTTTTTGAGTGATCATAAACTCCTTCGAAATTTGTTAGTATGAATAAGTGGCTTATCTTGTAATCGCAAGCCAGTGGTACAAAAAAGTTGAAAGGGGCTCAAACGAAGAAAGTTTGCGAAAAGGAAAAAAATCAAAAACCAAAACTTTCCCCTTTTTTTAACATTTTTTCGTAACCGTCAAAATCCCAAATTGTGGTTTTTTTGTTTTTCTGCGTACCTAACAGCTAAACATTTCTGCAAAAACTGCCAGTAGGATGCCCACTCTTACGCCTACAGAAATGAGCAGTGCTTTGCTTTGGCGATTGTCTTCTTCAAAACGAATTCATAGGCCACAGAATGAACAAAACCACTACTCACGTCGAGGTGCCAAAATTCCCGTCTAGGTAACTTCTAAGGAAACAACAAAGCGTGCATAATGTAGACATTCCTATTGCATGCAGCTGAATTTCCAAAAGGATGCCTTCATTCGCGCTTAAATTCAGGATAGAAAAGTAAGTGCAACGAAATTCCGGTTTCGAGCGCGGTTATGTGAAGCTCTATAAATATTTAACTAATGAGGCTAGAAGCCCGTTTTAAATGAAAGAGTATGAAAAGAGCTTCTTGATTGTGTGCAAAGTTATTTTCGAAGAAGAAAGTTTAATGGAGAAAGTTGCGCTAAAACAAGGGCTAGAAAGGCGCGCATTATTTTTGCACCAACTAGCATAACTAGCTTACAAAAAAGCATGGCAGGTGACAATGCTCTCTCTGTTTTTCTACCCACAAGAGCCATCCGTACTTACAAGGGAATGGTCAGAAGTCGAAGAGCCAAATCCAAGCAGCTGCCTAAATTTCGATGAAGCGTTCGACGTTGATTTCGAATCTGCAATCCATATCTGCTTAGCCTCTATGTGAGCGAAGTTATGAGCGCTTTTATTGCAAGAAGATTACACAAATTTGCGAAATTAAGCACATTTTTGCACTTTTAGTTCACCTTCAAGCTTTAAGAATATGAAGTAACCTAGCTGCATGGTTTGAGCCAGCATTAGGCCTGACATGGCTCTGTGCCACCAAATTTGCGCTTTGCATGCGCGACTTCACAGCAAATAACGACCTTTTACGGCTCATAACTTCGCCCACATAGGCGCTAAGCAGATATGGAGTACAGGAATGATATCCACGAAAGTCCATAATGGAGAAAAATGGACTTTCAAACCGCATTTTATTCGTTTGCGATAGAAACTGGCGGAATCTGCTGCTAGCGTTAACCAAAAATTTTTATCTCATATCTTCTTATCTTTTGTCTTTTTTTATCTTAGCAACCACGAGGCAAAGCGCTGTGATGAAAATGATTCAACCCTACTTGAGCTTTCGCTTGCGCAACAACCATGCGAAAAGTCCATTTATTATACAATAGGGCAAAATGGGATTTGCCTCCATTTTAAATGGACTTGAGAGTCCATTTTACTACCAGCAGCAAGGTGAGGCTGGGACTATCGTAAGCCCATTTTTGACCTTTTTGCACATTTTTAGTTGCGCTTTTTTAGAATGTGTTCCTTAGGCTATTTTGAGGCAACAGGAGAGTGGAGAAAGTTTTATAGGCGGCTGCATGACGAAGGCGCACTATCTTCGGGCGCGAACGCCTCTATATTAGCCGCAGAGCGCATGAGGTGAAAGATCTACAACGGTGAGGATACGCGCGCGTCGCGTTCGCGCCCGCTCAACTAATATCGCCATTGCGCCTTCGTCATGCAGCAGTCTTTATATCTTTTATGAAGTCTGAATACGTGTCTCTTTCTAATCATACAAACGCTATAAAAATCATGGAAGAAGGTTAAATTCACCAAAATATTTGCTAACAAACTCAAATGCTTACAAATATCAGGTCGATGCGAAAATTACTATGTAGATCAAACAAGTTTGTTAACTCTTCAAATCACCAATCAAAACCATATTCATGTAAAGAGACTAGCAACCCTAAGGGTCGCTAGCAAGTGGGCCGGAACGGATACAATATAAGGGCTTAGTTGTGACTATAAATATATTACTAAATGAGTTTCCTATTCCTTTCCTGAGAACATTTTTGGGAAAA